ACCGCGCGGTCCCGGAGCGGGCGGGAAGCAGCTCCTGCCTCCCACACCAGCTTGTTTCAGCCCGGGAACATCTTGTCAGAGCAAGGGAGGGAGGAAAAAAAAAAGGAAATAAATAAATAAAGTCCTAACCGTGGGTCTGCTGTTCGTAATTAGCACTGCCAGACCTGAGTATTTGTTCAGGGCCATAAACACCTCTCGCACACGGTGACTGCGCCGGGTTTTAATGGGCTCTCCCGGCAAGCTGAGAGGGTCTTGGTGGCACAGCGTGGAGTTGTGCAGCTTTAGCAGGTCCTGCTGTGACACCAGCGTTGTGCTGCACCTAAATGGGTGTGCAATGATAGTGAGGGGCACAGCACACACATGCAGCCTGCTTCACCTGGGCCTAGAGGTATGGGAGGGAGCTGAGTTCTGCTGCTCTTCCCAGGGAAGGAGAGGAGGGTCTTACCTCTTTTGGAAGGCTGCTTCTGCTTTAACTCGTGGTGTTTGAGCTGGGTTAGATGGGACTCACTGCCTGGATCTCTGTGTGGTTTTTCTTGGTATCCTGGGGTTTTACAAGTAGCTTCAGTAGGCAGTTAAGCCTTGAACCTTGATTCCCACTTTGGGGAACCACCAAATCGTGGCACTCCTTCCCCAGACTGGTAGCAGGCAGGGTCTAGTGTAGTGTCCTACAAGCTCAGGTTCTGGCTCTTCGTAATTTTGCAACCCTCATCTTCTCTATCCTCCTGTAATTGCTGTGTCTGTCCTTGCAGGGCAACACAAAGATCAACACTTTCAACTGGTCCAAGATTCGCAAGCTGAGTTTCAAGAGGAAGCATTTTCTCATCAAGCTCCATGCAAACATCTCTGTAAGTACCACGCTGTGGGCAGCTGCCAGGTGGCTGTGGGCCAAGGGTCAGCCAGGCAATGGCCCTGATTTTGACTAAAATCAATTTTTCTGCTCATGGGTGATTCTCCTTCCCACCCCTGTATCCTCAGCAGGGTGGTGCTGCCTGTAGCCCAGGGTGATGCTTTGGGGGACCAGGGGCAGATGGCAGAGCCTGGCCCTGCACCCCTGACCCTTGGCTCTGGGTGTGCAGGCGCTGTGCAAGGACACGCTGGAGTTCACTATGGCCAGCAGGGACACCTGCAAAGCTTTCTGGAAGACTTGTGTGGAGTACCATGCCTTCTTCAGGCTGTCTGAAGAGCCCAAGTCAAAGCCCAAAGCCCTTCTGTGCAGCAAGGGCTCCAGTTTCCGCTACAGGTAAAGTCTCACGGGAAAACAATCACTGGGGCCAGGAAGGGCATGGGGAGAGCTCTGATGCCCTTTGTGCCAGCCCTGCCTGGGAATGACTCCTGACAGCTGCTTTTCCTGGAGAGCCTCCCCTGGGATGTGCAGCTGGCCCGGGCTGATGGTGCTCACACCTTTTCCCCCCCTGCTGCAGTGGGAGGACACAGAGGCAGCTACTGGAGCATGGGAAGAAGGCGAAGATGAAGAGCCTGCCCTTTGAGAGGTACCAGGGGGGGCTGAGGGGGGCAGTGCCTGGGTGGTGTTGGGGAGAGGGGACGGGACCCTCCTGGCTACACACCCCTCATGCTCCTGGCCTCGCAGGAAGCACTACGCGTCCCGCTACGACGAGAGGCAGTGCTGTCTGAAGAGCCCAAGTCAAAGCCCAAAGCCCTTCTGTGCAGCAAGGGCTCCAGTTTCCGCTACAGGTAAAGTCTCACGGGAAAACAATCACTGGGGCCAGGAAGGGCATGGGGAGAGCTCTGATGCCCTTTGTGCCAGCCCTGCCTGGGAATGACTCCTGACAGCTGCTTTTCCTGGAGAGCCTCCCCTGGGATGTGCAGCTGGCCCGGGCTGATGGGGCTCACACCTTTTCCCCCCCTGCTGCAGTGGGAGGACACAGAGGCAGCTACTGGAGCATGGGAAGAAGGCGAAGATGAAGAGCCTGCCCTTTGAGAGGTACCGGGGGGGCTGAGGGGGGCAGTGCCTGGGTGGTGTTGGGGAGAGGGGACGGGACCCTCCTGGCTACACACCCCTCATGCTCCCGGCCTCGCAGGAAGCACTACGCGTCCCGCTACGACGAGAGGCAGTGCCGCTCCTCCCCGGACCTCCTGACAGACGTTTCCAAGCAGGTATGGTCCCCTTGGCACCACTGAAGGCAGCACTGGGGCTGGTCTTGGCTTTGCAGCCCCAGCTGGCAGAGCTCAGCTGGAGCCCAAGGCTGACCCTCAGCGCTTTGGGGGGGTGTCAGGGCTGGCCCTGCTTTCCCCCCCTGCCTGGCTGGGGTCTGGGCACCCACCGTCCCTCTGCCCCTGCTCAGGTGGAGGAGCTGCGCCTGGCCTATGGTGGCCGTGGCTCTTACCACGCCAACCGGGTCCACGC